CATAACAATGTGTTAAGGGGTATATGAAAAGAATCACAGGATTAGATACCAGGTAGGCAGGATTTATGTAACCCTTTGAAGGTCAGGAGAGTCAAAAGAAAAACTCAGCCCTCTAAATGGAGTGTGGAGAGTGCTAAGTTAAAGTCAGTGTGCAGGGTGGTGGCAGCATGGCCCCTGGACAAAGACTAACACATGGGGACTTTGACTGCACTTGCTACGATCTGCAGATCTTTACCAGGCATCCACATTCCTTGCTGGTTCCCTAAGGGGCAGTTATTTCCAGAACTCCTAAATGGAGTGCTGCTTCTCTCCCTGTGTGATTTGCACGATGCGAAAAGTCAATCTAGAGGACTGAGGGGGGTTAGATAGAAACACACCATTATGTGTCCAGTGCATGGTGAGATCTTTTATTTATTTATTTTTAAAGTTTGAGTTCTGATTTGGAGTCCTGGCAATGAGTGGGCAGGGATAGGAAAGAGAGAATGCTACCATTTGACTTCCACCAGATTCCTGATGATCACTAGGGTCCCCTTCACACCAGACAGCCTAGCTGACAACGTTTTCTAGCTCAGAATTCTCACAGCCCTTTATTTTTTTCTGTCTCTTAAAGAACTTGCCCTTTTTCACTTTGCATGCTGTTATGAACTAAATATTGGTGATCCCCCCTCCTCAAATTCATGTGTTGAAATATTAACCCCTAGTGTGATGACAGTAGGAGGTGGAGCCCTCGGGAATGGGATTTAGTGCCCTGGGAGACTCCAGGGAGCCTCTTCCTCTCCACTGCCCCCACCCACCCACCCACCCCCATGAGGACACAATAAAGACAGAAGTTGGCAACACTGAAGAGGATGCTCACCAGACCCCATCATGCTGGCACCCTGATTAAGGATTTTAGCCTCTAGAACTGTGAGAAATAGGTTTTGTTGTTTATAAGTCATCCAATCTATGGTAATATGTTACAGCAGCCCAAACCAAGATACATGCTGTCAAAATGATCTTTAGAATTTACAAAAATCATTTTTATTTTCCTCATAATTGAGGGAGCTTCTATACCTGAGTCTCCACTATGTATGCCAATAGCTTGGAGAAAGCTCCAGCCCTGACAGGTTGTGCTGGGCACCACACCTGGGTGTCCGACGCTGGGCCTCCTCCTGCTTGCGAATGAGCAGACAGTGATAAGGTTAGTGAATGACCCATGAGGGGTTAAAGCACTCAAAGGACTCTTGATAGAACATATTTCAAGGGAAGAACTGAGAGGCAAGAGCCCAGCTTATTTTCTGGTTTGGGTGGTCATGATGCAGCAACTGATTATTGTTATTGTTTGTGAAGGAAGGTGCCATCACCAAACTCCAAAAAAACAAGGCTGACACACTGTATCAGACTATATTTTAAAGGGCATTTTCAAATCACGTCCAACCCTGCAGTAAAAAACAAAATTGCAAAGGACCACTTATGAAGTGGATCTCTTTCGCTAATTACAGTATGACAGTTGCCTATAAAGGGGGCCATGTGTCATATCTAGAAAGGATAAAAGACACTGACATTTATTTATTTCACTAAAAGGTTTTGACTTTTTTTTAAGATTTGGTTATCATTTATTCAGAAGTATAATATGTGTTTATGGAGAAGCATAATATGTGTTTATGTGTTACAGGATATTTTTGGACAATTTTCAAATTATAATTTAGATTTAAATAATTTTTCCAGATCCCCTATATCAGAGGAAAATAAAGTTGCAACATCAAGGGAAACGTCAGTGAATATCTGGCTGGAAACATCTGGCTCGAATATACATTTGGAGAAACTGGGCCAGAGTTTGTTAGAAATTTTTACCCAAATATTATTAGGATGGTGTTGTTCAGTTGTGTGATGCCATGTATTGAGGTATTCCTATGTGAGCCACTAAATTTTATCAATATACAAAGTGTTTGGTTATAACTGAATTATAATATCTGTCCAATAGAGCAGTTTCACTAAGCTACTCTCAGGATAAGGAGAGAAGCACAACTTTCTCCAAGGCAGAAAGAAAGAAGGTAGGGAGGGAGAAAGAAGGATGAAGGGAGGGAGGGAAGGAAGGAAAGAAAGAAGGAAGGGAGGAAGAAGAAAGAAAGAGCAAGAGAGAGGGAGAAACAAACTATGATGTGCAGTCCTAAGCCAATAGAAAAAAATAGAATATTTTGTAGAATATGGAATAACTTGCCTCCTTAGAGTAGAATGAGCAAGAAAACCCAGGGCAAGAAGCAGCTCTACTCAAATAGCAACAAGGTGATAGAGGGCTACCACATGAATTATATCCTAGTTGTAGGTGCAATTTAACTCCTTCAAAGTGCCACCAAATAGCCTAGTGTTCAAGAGAGTGACATTAATGCAAAAGGGCATATAGCTAGAAATAGGAGAAAACTAGAACAAGAATTAATTCAATGAAAAGTAGTATTTAAACAAAAGCATCAGTATTTGCGTAAATAGTTAATGATTCTCTTTTCCCTAATTGCCTCGGTTTTATCGTTGTACTGGAACCCGGAAGGCTCTAACTCTTCCAGTCAACACGTGAGATATAAACAAATGCTATTTTTAAAAAATGCATTTCTAAAAGGCTACATCTAAAGGTTGGGGAAGTGTGAGATGAAAAACACAGAGAAGGTTAACGATGGCCCCGGCAGGGCGGTGTCATGTTGCTGCCACCAAAGGTGATCAGTGACAAGTTCGCCCAGCAGCTGCTAGGGCCTGATCCCAATGCAGGAGATCCTACCAATGACATCAAAGCTGATAAAGAAGATCAGAAAGGTTCAATGAAGTGAGCTTTCCCTTCTTTTTGTGTCATTCAAGGAAATTTTTTTCATAAAAATATGTGAGAGCCCTCTATGTATGGAATCCCAGGTAAATATGAGTGCAATTCAGACTTTAGATCTACATTATGTATCAGTCTCAGTTTTGAGAAAACATTTGAAATGTCTACCCATACTTCACACACGTGCACCCTAAATACATGTAGATTTGCTAGAGATACACATAGCCAATCTCTTTGGGGTAAATTCCTATCCATTTACAAGTAAAAGAATCATGAGTCAGACTTTCCTCACTCTTTAGCTTAAATTTTCTTATTCTCCTTACCTAAATTATTATTTTCTCCCCACTCTATTTCTGCCTCCTCATATCCTATTTTTTTTTCTCTCAAGGCAAGCCCAAATACTGCCTTCTCAGTGAGATATTTTGGTCATCCACACCTGGAAAAGAACTTTCCTTCTTTGTAAATACCACAGTGCGTGCGGCCTATACAATTCCTACATATTGCAATGACACACTTTTTACTGCCATGTATCAATCATTTTTAAAAATATAAATGTTTTTGTATAGCTAGACTATAAGATCCTAGGGGGAAGAGTCACGCTATGCAGGCACAGCTCAGAGATAGTGCAGGTTCAGTCCCAGACCACTGCAACAAAGTGAACATTGCAATAAAGTGAGTCACAATCTTTTTGCTGGTAGAAAGTCTTGCTTTCAATTTGTAAAAAACACAACATCTGCAGGAGCAGTAGAACAGGGTAGAGATGCCTGTATGTTGTAGCTGTTAAAATGAAGGAATCCACTGATTCCACTACTCTGTGCCCTGAGTGAATGCCCCAATCTCGGTTTTCTCATCTGTAATTAGGAACGATAAGAGAATATGCCTCATCAAGTTGATGTGAGAATTAAATCAGAAAATGTAGGTAGCACAGTGTCCCACAGGGGGAAAGGGTTCAACAAAAGTTAGCAATCATCATCATCATCATTACTCTCTGTTTGCTCCTCAGTGCCATGTTCTGTTCCTTGCACCACATGTGCTCAGTGCTGATATTTTGATTGCCTGGTGAGTACGTATCTACGGCTTTTGCCATGTAGTATCTATTTCTCACTCTGTTAACAGTTCCCTTATCTCTCTTTAGGGAAATTTGCCATCCCTCGCTCATTAGCTCTTTCTACGGCCTTAGCTCATGCAGATTTCATGTGGCCTGGTGTAAGACCCTCATTCCACTGGCCAGAGGAAGGTACCAGAACCCATGTGATGGTAAGTGATTGCCCAACAGCCAGCCTTCTTTTCAATTTAATTCTTATGTAGGAGTTATTCTAGGAAACCATGTGAGCATACAAAACAGTCACAATCCTTTCCTAGATTTGGCAAACCCCAAGTTACTGAGGGAACGCTGAGATGCTAGTGCAGCCCTCAGCCCTGGAAAGGCAGATGGCTCTAAGGACTTGTCCAGCTGACCCTCCTACTTGTGCGCTGTACCATCTCACTGTCACTGAAAATTCATCATCAATAATTTCCAAGAGGATGCCTAGTAAAGGTATTTGAAGAGTAGTAGGAGTTTCACTTGAACCAAGAGTGTGATAATCTGGGAGTTCAGGTGAATTTAGGTATGTTTAAGTGCTGATGGTATACATTTCTTTCCAGCATAGTTACCTAAAAATCAGGTCCTCCTGGGAAGAGGAGATGTTTGTGCTAAAGCAATGAACTATATCAAAAAGGGGGTCCACTGACAAAGAAAACAACTATACCCCAGTACTCTATGGCTACTCTCTCCTACATATGCTCTAGTCACAGGGGCTTTTTTTTATAGTTTTGTGAATAAATCTTGCTTTCCCTTATTTGTATTATGTGTATCAGCTCAAATTTACTTCCTTTGATTCCTGGGGTGGAATGCCTGCAACAGGAGGGCAGACAGAAACAAAGAATGGCTTCCTAAAATCACCCTGAGTTAGTCAGTGTTCAAGAAGTCAGCAGCAGGAGTCATAACAATCCTTAGCCTGGATAACATACCCCTTGGCAAATGGCATGGGGAACCCTGGCACAAGTACTGTTTGGCATCAGCCATCATTGGGGGGGGGGTGCCTTCAAGAGGTGAGGCTGCCCAGCATTGGTGCTCCTGGAATACACAGTGGTAACTGAACCTCAGAGGGAAGATGGAACCCTTTATCAATGGGTGTGAGAATTGTTATCTTTATAGGCACCAGAGAAGATTCACCCTTTTATCAGTGGCAGGAGATGCAGTCACAGTAACAGAAGTGGAGGAGAAGAAAATGCATCTTATGGTAAGAGGACTAGTTTTAGAAGCATAATCTGAGGTGTGCCCTGGAAATACCAGAGCTGGACATGTGGAGAGGACTGAAATTACTGTAAAGCATATCAGCAAGGAATTGGGAAAACAGTCTTTGGTGAGTATTACTGTGGTTCTTTTCTTCCTCTGGACAGTCCAGGCTTGCGAGCCCTGACTCACATACGCCTGGAACACCAGCATGCCTGAAAATGTGTGGAGGTGTGGCTCTGTTGGCCCTGAAGTGAAAACATTAATTTTGAGCTAAAAAAGTGCTTTTTTTTCAAACCTGACATCTATTTCCATGTTAACAACCTAAAGCCTTTCAAAACATGGTGTGAGAACTTAATGCTCTCTTTTGTAATTGCTGAAACTTTTATTGAAAATGTTTGGTCCTAGGATCTGCAGATCAGTCATACAAAAGTGAGCAACACATTTAAAAGTCAAATGATCCTGTGAAATGTCAGGCCCTAGAACAACTTTGGAGTTGCAGTTGGCAAAAACTGACAAAAATAGGTACTGTGTGTAAGCAATAAAACTGTTCACCAAGTCTTCAGAACTTTATACATGATTTTTGGAGCCTGAGACTTAGATGTTTATCTTCCAAATCAAAGCCATAGGTCTGTTTAGAAAAGTCCCTACCTATTTTTACAGCATGAGATTTTATTACAGGAGCACAGTATACAGGTGGTCTACATGCAGCTTTAACCCTAAGTGCTACAAATTGTAGCTGGGATTTCGAGGGTGGGTTAGTATTATCAGGACAGACTCTCTAGAAGCTTTTCTTGTATACCTCATTCCTTCCAGGGACCACCAATTGCTTATTCCTAGAACACACATGTAGGTCACTGAGGTAGAGAAAGCTTCTGGCCTGTCAGTATTCATAGTTCAAAACAGAAAATTCAGACATTGGTCCCTGGATCTTATTCCCCAGCAAGAAGCCCTTACATGAGCAGCAAGAATGTTAACCTATCATTGTTTCTAACCAAGATGGAATAAAGGGGACCACATTTAGTCTCTGCCTGAAAAAAACTAAAAATGCCAAATAATAATAATGACTTTCAAGATACTAGGTATCAGACAATGAACAGTGACCCCTATGCAGTGAGAACAAATCAGACGAGGCCTACAACTGCCATTAAATAAGCTTTGAGAGAGTTCTCAGGCTGTGGTAGAGGGAAGGAGACCCTGGCAGAACCCAGCTGAATCCTCAGTTGAAGACAGAGCTGAGTATGGCATCGTTGTTAAGCAACTACAGCTCACAGGACAGAGTGCCAGAGAAGAGAGGGCTGTACAGAGTAAGAACCTTGGAGATCTGCAGAGGGGTCCCTTGGGCATATAGCAGAGCACTTAACAACACAAGCCTGTGATGAAACTGCCTGAGGCTGGAAAAAGAGGCAACTGAAAGGATTAGAGAAAATGCTACCTGTTGCCCACCCAGGGCTGGGAGAGTCTACCAGTAACACTGATGACTTCATAACTCACGGAGCACTGTGACAGGAGCACAGAAGCTTCTTGCCTCACTGGTGGGAAATAACTAGTCCTAGGCTAAACACTGCTCTGCGCTCACTGACAAACTTTAAAAGTAAAACCTTCCAAAATTAACTTTCAAGGTAACTTAGTTTATACCAGAAAAAAAATATATATGTACATGAAAAATACAAAAGTAGCACCTAACAGGGCAAAGGATTACCCAATATGTAAAGAATCAGGAAAATATAGCCTTAAAAGTAGTGAAATAAATAAATTAAAACTAACCCAAATAGACACAGATGTTAGTATTAGAAGGAAAGAATATTAAAACAGTTGTTATAGCTGTATTCTATAAGTTCAAAGAGTTCAGAAAAAAACATAAAGGTTAAAAAAACACCCAAACTGCTAGAGATGAAAACCAACTGGGATGCGATTAATAGCATATTAGTCATTGTAGAAAAAGAGATTAGCGAATTTCAAAACATGTCAATATAAACATCTATAATAAAACAAAAACAATTTTTTTAATATCAGTAACCCAAGGGACAATTTTAACTTGCCTATGTACACATGTAATTGGGAACCTATTAGAAGACAAGGGGACTGGGGCAAAAAATTGAAAAAATGATAGCAGCAAATTGTCCACATTTAATGAAAACTATAAAACACAAGTCCAAGAATCTCAATGAGCCCCAGCACAACATGAAGAAAAACTACTCCAACGTACATTATAACCAAATTGCTGAACCAATGATTAAAAAAATGGTATTAAAAAGATCCAGAAACTTAAATAACGTTCTGTACAGAAAAAGAAAATATGCAAATTACAGCAGATTTCTCTTCAGAAACAATGAAAAGGAGAAAACAGTGGAGCAATATCTTTGAAGCATTGAAAGAAACAAATAACAAGAATTTTATACCCAAGGACAATACTTCTCAAAGATGAAGAGGTAAAATATGTTTCATATGTAAAATGGCTTGAAAAATTCAAACCCAGAAGTTGTACATTACAGTAAATGTTAGGAAAAAAAGATTTTTGGGAGAAAGAAAAGTGATGCCAGATTAAAAAAAAAATGTCATCTACAATAGAATGAAGAGCACTGGAAACAGTAACAAATGAGCAAATAATTCAAAGGTTTTCCTTATTATTTAAATCTCTTTAAAGAATACCTTCAACAAAAAACAACAACAACATGGTATGGGTTTATAACATATGTATAAGAAATATGTATGATAATAATAGCATGAAAACTGGGGAGGTGGACACTGAATTTTATTAATTTAAAGTTCTTATACTCTATAGGGCATGTTATAGTTACAATTTTATGGAAAATATAATATGTTAAAAATGTATACTATAAAACCTAAAGGATGCATAAAAAAGAGTTATAGCTATTAAGTCAGCAAAAGAAGTAAAAATGTAATCATAAATAATAATTAATCTAGAAGAATGAAAAAAAGGGAAAAGAATTGAACAAAGAACAGATGGGGCAAATAGAAAAGAAATAGAAAGATAATAGACTTATCCCTAACCACATCAACAATCACCTTAAATGAAAATGGTTAAAACACTCCAATTAAAAGGCAGATTGTGAAATTTAATTTTTCTAAAAGTATGGCCTATATGCCCATTTATCAGAAACACAATTTAAATATAAAAAAAAACAAATAGCTGCCCTGACTGGTGTAACTCAGTGGATTGAGCACAGGCTGCAAACCAAAGCATCGCAGGTTCGATTCCCAGTCAGGGCACATGCCTGGGGTTGCAGGCCACAGCCCCCAGCAACCGCACATTGATGTTTCTCTCTCTCTGTCTTTCTCCCTTCCTTCCCTCTCTAAAAATAAATAAAATCTTTTTTAAAAAGAAACAAATAGTTTAAAAGTAAACGGACAAAACAGTTATCCAATTTTAGTGCTAATTTGAAGAAAGTTGGAATGATGATATTAATATCTGGCAAATTATACTAGAAATATTGGCAAGAGTAAAGAATGTCATATCATAATTATATGAGTCAGTTCATATGAAGAGGGCTTAAAAATCTTAAATGCTTATGTACCTCATAACAGAACTTCAGAATACAGGGAGTAAAAATGAGCATTCCTTGGAGAAACAAACATATAAGTATAATCTAAGATTTCAATAACCCCTTCTCAATATGTGATAGACACAAAATCAATAAGGACATAGAGACTTACAACAGGATCAACCAATTGACCTATGAGGTTTATCCAGAAAAAGTCCAGCCATTGTTAATATAACAAGAACAGTTTGCACAATAGTGATGTAACCTGGCAGCCAAGGAGAGTGGACTGGAATGCACATGAGTGAACAATGAAGACTTCACTGTACTAGTCAGTGAGGGCAGTAGACACTGTTGAGTGAGCACATGTACTATGGCCGCCACATTCAAAATGACTGAATGAGTAGGGCAATGAATTTGCATCATGTTTTGCATTAAGCTTAAACATTCCTTTGTGGAAACTATTCAGATGATTCAGAAGGCCAAAGTTATGGCAACTGGTGATTAGCAGCTTCATCATGACTATGTGACTGCTCATGCATTACATTGCATATAGAGTTTTTTGGCAAAGCATCAAATTACCCAAGTGGCTCAGCCCACTGCAGCCCAGATTTGGCACCCTGTGACTTTCTGGCTTTCCCAAAACTAAAATCACCTTTGAAAGGGGAGAGATTGAAGACCATCAGTGAGATTCAGGAAAATAAAACAGAGCAGCTGATGGTGATTGGGAGAACTGTGTGAGGTCCCAAGGTGCCTACTTTGAAGGGGACTGAGGCATCATTGTCCTATGTACAATGTTTCTTGTATCTTGTATGTTCTTCAATAAATGTCTCTATTTTTCATATTACATGGCTGGATACCTTCTGAACAGACCTTGTAATATATATATATAGTACTTCACCCTTTAAAGATTAGTATATAAATTCTTTAAATGAATACTAAATAATTACTAAGATAAATCATATTCTGGGCCATTAAACATGTATCAATAAATGTAAAAGATTTCAAATATTATAAAATATTTTTATCTTAAAAATAAATATGACATAAATAATATTTCTGAAAAGTTCCCAAATATTTGGTTATTTTAATGCATGTCTAAACAAGCCATAGGTCACATAAGGAAACAAAATAAAAACTGGAAAGTAATTTGAACTGAATAAAAATGAAAATACAAGGTATCAAAACCTGTGGAGTCCAGTAAAGCAGCACTAGTAGTAGGAGAAGGATACTTATAACATGAAATGTCTGCATTACAAAGAAGTAAGGTCTTAAATCATATAAAGTCAGCCTCTACCACAGAAACAAAAATATCCACTTCCACTTACAAAGTAGAGTAAATTAAAGTAAACAAAAGAAGGGAAAAATAAATATCAGAGCAGAAATCAATAAAGTAGAAAATAGAAAAAGGAGAGAAAATAAGTAAAACCAAAGGGAGGTTCTTTGAAAAATAAAAATCAGTAAAACTGGTAAACTTCCAGCCAGACTGATTAGTAAAAGAAGAGAGAGAAAAGATACAAATTATTGATTTTAGGAAAGGTAGAGGTGAAGTCACTATGATTTTGAGTATATTAAAAGGATAAGGGAATATTATAGGAACTTTTTGTCAACATATTAAACAACTTAGACAAAATGAGGAAATTCCTTGAAGAAATTAGCTACCAGAACTCACTCAAGATGAAAACATATATATATGTATATATATGAATAACCCTACTATATTTTTTTAATTTAAATTTAAAACCTTCCCCCAAAGACAAGATGGCTTCAATGTTGCATTCTTCCAAACATGTGAAAAATAGCAATTTCATACGAATCCTTCTATAAAATTGGAGGAAGAAATATTTCCAAATCATTTTATGAAGCCAGCCTTACCCCCACAAAAACAACAACAGACATGACAAGAAAACCACATATCAATGTTCCTCATAAACATGATGTAATTTTTTAATTAACAAATGAAATTTGCTAGAAAGGTTTTGCTTGATGGATCAAATACATCAAAGACTAATGAAACCACAAAAATGTAGGGTGGGTGATTGTACCATGTTGTCAACTACTGCAGTAAAATACCATTTTATATAACTAAGTTTCACATTTCCACTATCAAATAAGCAGTTACTCTCTTAATTCACTAAAGGGATCATCGTTTGTATATAGTGTTTAGAGCACAGATTTGGAATCAAACTACCTGAGATTGAGTTTTACCTCCACCTCTTACTACCTTTATCACTTGGAACAACTAATTAACATTCCTGTGTATCAATTTCATCTGCCATGAAATGGAGATGAACTATTTCTCATAGGGACTTTGTGAGGAATAAATTAGTTAAATTTTGTTAAATGTCTAGTGGTGGGATGCTGCGTGGAGAACTTAGTAAGTGCTCACTGAGACAAGCAAGAAGTGGCAGTAGAAATCCAAGGGACTGAATGGTGTGAATGGCCACGGAAGACTTATGTTGAACTGAAGAATGTCATGCTTGGTGGATACATCAGACAAGAAAGCAAGAGGCGTGCATACCACAAAAAGGCATCAGTACAAACAAGCACTTAGAAGCCATAAGCCCGTTGGTATTTTCTAGAAACTGTGATTAAGAGAAAGTGTGTTGAATATAGAATATATTTTTGTGGAATGTAGGGAGGGGGAAAAAGAGGAAGGGATAAACAACATAGTAGTAAAAGATGGAGATTGAGACCAGATGATAAAGAGCCTTGTGTTTCAAGAGAAGGCAGTACAATTTGATCCTGGTCAAGATAGGAAACCATCGAAAGATTTATCACAAAACAGTGTCATAGCCAGATAATTATTTTTAAAGATGATTTAGGGAAAATTATGGAAAATATATGCAAGAAAATAAAGTTGAAACAAGGAAAACATGCTGAGCTGTATTAGTTTCCTATTGCTGTCACATATTACCACAGGTCTCTGGGCTGAAGTCAAGGTGTTAGCAGGATTGCTTTCTTCTGGAGGCTGGAGGGTGAATACGCTTCCTTTTCTTTTCCATCTTCTAGCAGTCACCTGCTTTCCTTGGTTTGTGGCCCCTTCTTCCAACCACAAAGCCAGCAGTGGCGGGTTGAATCCTTCTCATATTTAATCACTCTGGACTCATTTTTGGCCTCCCTCTTTCACATTTTAAAGACCCCTGTGGTTAAATTGGACTCACCCTCATAATCCAGGATAATCTCCCTATTTTAAGGTTAGTTGACTAGCAACTTTAATGCCCCTTTGCCAGGTAACGCAGCATAATCACAAGATCTGGGGACTAGGACATGGGGACCTCTGGCGGGGGAGGGGGGTATTATTCTCCCTACCACAGAAGCTATTACAAAATATCAGGTAAGACATGATAAGAGTCTGAACAAAGGTGGTGTTAGCAGCAATGGACAGGAGGGAAGATATTAAAAAGTGCTTTAAGATGCAAATTATAAGAATCAACCTTGGCTTGTGTGTGGCTCAGTGGATTAAGTATGGTCAGTGAACCAAAGGATTGCCAGTTAGATTCCCAGTCAGGGCACGTGCCTGGTTTGCGGGCCAGGTCCCTGGTGCAGGGTGCAGGAGAGGCAACCACACATTGATGTTTCTCTCCCTCTCTTTCTCCTTCTCTTCCCCTCTTTCTAAAAATAAATTAAAAATCTTAAAAAGAAAAGAACCCATAGTTTCATTTAGGTGGGCTTAGAGGGTGCAAAGGACATGAGGGAGAGTAGGAAATTAAGGTACCTTCTAGTTGATTCCCTTTTTTAAAATTTGGTAAAATATGATACTATTAGCTATTATGAGTTCAGTTTCCAATAGTGAATATAAAGTTCTCAGAGAATACTAAGGGTGAGAGGTCCAAAACGTTGCTAGAAATCAGGTCTGAATTCTAGGAACAGTAATGCTGGTGATGGAGACCTGAGCATTGTCATGTAGTTGAGGCCTCCGAGCAGCCTGATGTAAGGGGTCAAGCATGCTAAAGATGTGCACACACACTGACGCTCGGTGTTTAGCAGCTTTCATTGCTACTGATTGGTGTTTAACATCAGAAAATCAGATGTATCTTAAAAATAAAATGTAAATGACTTACTGTGTCTTTAACTGGATCCTGGCAGGTAGCTCATCAGAGAAGCAAAGACTTATCAGTCTAAGGATGAACTTCTACAGAGGTGGCCTTCCCAAGCCCAAAGACTGCGAAAACGATGGTAAGGATCTGTTGTATCCTCAGAAGCAAAGAGTTGTGGCACTGGATGCAACTGTGACATTCCAGCTCCACTCTCACAATGTGTCTTTCACAGAAACACCTATTAGAACACATATTAGTCCCACTGGAAACCAGGATTCCATTTAACATTCGGGGCATCTCCCAATTTCGTGAGAGACTTCAATTCTATGTCTCTTTCAAAGGCATTGTTGTATATGGGAAATCTCTGTACCTTCCTTTCAATTTTACTGTGAACCTAAAACTGCTCTAAAAAAATAAGGCCTTAAAATAAAACCTCAAAAACTAGAAGCATGATAACATCCTGCTTCAGGATATTGCTCCCAAAGTCCAATGATTTTAAAAATAAACAATTCATGTTATTAATTAAGAAAATATAGGTGATATGATAGCATTAATATATCAACAATTAAGGGCGATTTTTAAAATCTCTTACAGGAAAGACCTGAGTATTTTACAGGCCTATTAATTCATAGCAATGAACATGGTGCACCATACAAACCGTGAGTAATAAAACATCCTGTGGCAAAAACTAGGAATTCCATATAAATGGCTGGGGGCGGGGGGCAGGCAGGATGGAAATGTCCATTTAAATATAGGACCTTGATTAATTTTTCTCTATAGTGGAATCATAATAACCAAAAATAAGCTCACTGATGTAGCTGTGGTAACATATGAGTTAGAACACATGGCATGTACAAAGGTGAGTAATAAAAATGAAGCAAATGAGTAAAAATATATCAAAAGTGACTAAAATTATGTGTTTTCATTGTTAAGAGATGTAGTGAAATCCTCATCTGGTGGATTCCAATTCAGCATTTCCTTGATATATCTTTTATAATTTTCACTCTAATTATAATGAAAATCATTTCTCAATGTAATTTTGCAATAAAAATGTTTTTTTTATTTCTCATTATATAAGAACATGATCTTGTACAGTTACTGAGCTGGCTTACAATTTGCACACTGTATCTTTCCTTTCTTACCATTTAATCTCTTCATAGTCTACAGATGTCAAGAGGTACAGATTAAGCTTGTTAAAGATCTGCTTCACTCGAACTCGCTGATGATTATTTATTTAGCAGTTTTATGTAACCCTGTCATTGATAAGCACTCTATTAATTTGCCGAGGGACAAATCAACACTGGTTATTTTTCTACCAGCTATTAGACTCGGTACTGCTGTTTGTTACAAACCACTTGCCAGTTAATTATAAATTATGGGTCCTCTTTGCCTATATTAATTGATATCTCCTCTGCCTTTGTAATACTACACAAATAAATTGAAGGCAAGATTTATTAAGCAGTGTATGTCTTGTGTCTCTTGATTAGTATTCTACTTTTTAACATTTATACTTGTTTATACAGATTTGACAGATCAATGCATTAAAGAAATAATCTTTGGGGTGTATTGTAGTAAAGAAAGAAAAAGATTTAATAGGCTTCCTACAAATTTATTCCAAATGACCCACAATTCATTATAAGCAATTCCTAAAATGCCTTTTGACTTTGTGCTACAGACTGGTGGTGGCAGCTTCCCAATTATGCAAAAGCTAATATTCAAATGGTTTTAAAGTCTATGCATGCAGTTGCTATCAGGTAAACAAATATGATGTCTATAAACTTAAAACCATACCACTTTACACATGCACTATCCAATGTCTCTTTCCTTCACCTATTGCATATATGCATTCTATTATACAAGCTTTGGCATAAACACAAAGCCTGCTTTTCTTTATTTTTGTCATTTAAACAATCTGTAGGCATAATATATAGTGACAAAACAATAAGCTGTAGCCATTTTTAATTTTTAGAAGCATGGATTATAGATGCCACTTGCCACAGGACACGCACCTTTCCATTTGTAGCCCACAGAGGAGCTGGAGTTAGAACTTAGGTCAGGTAGAAAGAAAACCTTAGTCTGTTTGCCCCCTGGACAGTATCAAACATTGAATAATTGCAAATTTAATGGGAAGGATTGCACCAGAGGGTTATTGGATTATATTCTGATTTCAAAGGGCTTTAGAACCTAGCTATCTACCAAAAGATCTGAGTCTCTGAAACCCTAATTTTGTATATAATATCTCCATTTAATTGACAGTTTAGAACCAAGTTGTGTTTGCAATATCTTGGACTCCTAATCATTCTCCATCTGACATAAATCCAGCAAATGGACAGTTAGCTCATTGGGGTCGGTAGACTGTTTTTACATTAATTCTCACAGGAGAGGAGATATATGTTGGTCAAGCAGGTCTATTCCTATTTTCAACTCACACATAATTGAATCCCTGTTCCAACACATTCATGTTTGATGATTTAAAGACTCCCCATTTAGAATTTAGAGGAAGCCTTTAGAGTAAAATTAGTTAGTTCATTCAGAAAACATGCATTTGGCTAATGTGATGTGAAACTGACCTTGAGCCACTTTTTAATAATGAGATTTCAAGAATCATCTCCTGTGTACCATGGCACCTTTGGTGAGCTGTTTCTGGGCACACCTCCTAATGGGTGTCATGAGTGATAGAATTCCTTGATAACCTTGATTTATTTGATTATGCAGAGAATATGCTATTAATCATCCCTCACCAATTTATTATTTTGTCTGTATATCCTCTGTGTTATCCTTCCTACCATTTACTACCTCATTGCTCAAAATCTCTGTCCCCTACAGTCAAACAAGATCTGAGAGAAGTGGGATTTAAGTTATTAGTTACAATATGGAATTACTTTGATTAGCAGTGGATTGGAGTTGACACTAACCTTTCAAATAAATCATTTTTTATTATTCTCATTTCACATATTCACATTACTTTTGAACCCAATTACATAGTTAATCCATTGTTTCCTGAACTACAGTGTACATTTTTAATGCCTCATACTATTTTACCACCACCCAGTTGCTCCTAACTGGGGGCAATTTTACTCTCCAGGGAACAGTCAGCAATATCTAGGGACACTTATAGTTGTCACAAATGGGGGAAGGGAAGGGACTACTACAGGCATCTAATGGGTAAAGGACAGACATAATACTAAATATCCTACAATGCACAGGACAGCTCCCTCTACAAAGAATTTACTGGTCTCAAATGTTAATAGTCAGAAGGGTGAGAAATCCTGCTATACCTTTCTTTATCAAAGGGGCACTAATAAGTAGAACAAACATTTTTTGAGGAAAGATCATAAACTTGATTATGGCTACATTTATCTCATTTTGGGTGGCCCTCAGAGGTTGCCTCATGAGCCCACTGATATGGTAGCTTACTTGAGGTGCTCAGACTACATTGGACTTGAAATGTGCAAGCCACTGTAAGGCTTGCTGTGCACTACCTCATGAACACATCAGGGACATATGTAAGGCAAATATTAAATCCAGTGCTAATAAACTGAAATAGTTGAATCAGGAGCTCAGTCAGTGAGGAAAGAGGAGAGGCTGTGAGTTGCACAGACCATCAAGGTACTCTGGTTGCAGAGGCAACCTGCAGAAGAGGAAGCACAGGTAGATAAGGGACATGAAGTGGCCCTTAGCACCCCTAGGAAAATACAAATATTTACTAACCTGAGATATAAATATTTTCATTCAACAATTGTTTACTGACATCCAGTGGGTATAAAGTACCATGTCCTATACTACTTGTCCTCAAAAGTCTATTTCTCCACCCCAAGAGCATGTGTAGCATATAATAATATATAGATTCCTATATACACATCCACATACTCATTATTAGCAAAATATAATTCCTCATTAAAATATAAATAGATGTCCTGTATTATCTAATACCATCGAATGTTCTAATATTGCTGAATATGATCTTCCCACACCTTCAATGTGAACATCTCACTGGGAGATACACATTTAATTCTTTTCATGAACTCCACTAGGTGATGGCCTTCTGGAGGCTGGTGACTACATCTTTTTTCTCCTGTTTTGTGTTGCTAGTGCTCACAACCAAACAAGGATTCAATGCCTGTCTTACTTAATGAATAAATGGAGTTGGCTTTGAAGGAGCCGATGTGGTAGGATGGTGCACACACACCTACACTACACAGCAGAATTACAATGTAGGAGTGGTGAAGAAAAGCAGACTTGCTCCTGTCATAGACTTTTCCAAGATCTTCTCTGAAGCTGGGCCAGGAAGTCCACAGAATTTCCTTTCATAAATACTTCTCATTCTTAGTCAGTCCTTGAGTTAGGACTACATTTCTTCTTGTATGAGAGTGCTCAATTAAACTTTAGAAGGTCCAGTTAAACTGATTCCATACTACTTAACAATCTAATGTTGAACCCCACTTGATTTCTAGGTTTCTCCAGGATCGGAAGAAACTATCCAGTTAGGAACCACATAAACCCTTCTCTCCCCAAGTGAGTTTAATTTGTTATTTAAGATAGGCAGAATTCTTTGTCCTCTTTCTTCTTAAACTAATAACTTTTCCAGCCAATCTGTAACCATGGTTGACATATCTCAGGATATATTTATCCTGACAAAATTTTGGCCACCATCTGAGTACTTTAAGTTCTTTGAAAATCTCTGTGTGTCCTATGGGACTGTTTTCTTTGTTGGAGTTTATAAATAAATAGATGAGGCTGGAAGGTGAGTATGGTCTCACTTTGAATGAGTAGGAAATTTTCCACACAGTGATAAAATAGTCACCACCACCCTACTTCTTCAACAAAATAATTTTACTGACTTATTCATTGGTTTAACTCTCACGTATTTTTTCTAATATGGAAACTCCATGTTCAATATTAATACTGAAGGAAGCCTAAAGTAACTTTTGAATAATTAGTCCTCTATTAATTGAAAATAAGTTGATGGAATAACCTTTTATTAATGAACCCTTTAGCTTCTCCCTTATCTTCAAGGACCAAGCCCATTCTATACCACATTTCCCCCTTCCCTTATTTTCTTTACACTTTTGTGATATTCATTGAGCATCTACTATGTTGAAGTTGAGATTCTATAGATTCTGCCATTTCTGGGAAAATTGCTTCCTAAGGATATCTGAATCAAAGGTGTCATCCAGCCAAAAACGTTAAGATGAAGTTTTACCCTTTTTATGGTTTGCAGAATATGACTATTTATGGAAGAATTGTAAAATCGTATTGCCAAAAATTAGCTGAACAAGATCTACTTTCTTAAGAAATGTTAACATAATTAAAGGCCTAGCACATAGTATAGTCTATTTAATAACCCTCCAAGAAAAGATGCTATTGTTATTCCATCTTAAAGGTAAAAAAACACAGAAGAGATTAAATATTTGCTGTAGTAGTTCACAAGGTATATGAAAAAACAGGTAAACTAAGGAACAGAATTAGCATTTATTTAGAGGTATATAATAATACCAAATTTATTATTATATAAAAACTAGTCCACTCTAAAAACCAATGCGTATCTGATGGAGTTTTAGAGTTTGATTTCAGAATTCTCAGAAATGGGGTTTATTTGGTATGTAATTAACATGACAAACAAGGGAAAGATACAAGTTTAGCAAAAGCTCACTTTGAA